ATTTGAATTTTTGACCCAGTTCATTCATAACTTACTTGTAGGTTTGGAATGCTATTTACTATCATCAGCCAAGATAACCTCTTGAAATTCCATAAACTGTAGGTTTTAAAGGCATTATCCACTTCTGGTCAAAGGCAAGTGATTATAATAATAGTAGTAAAATCTCTGAAAATTTGAATTATACACCCAGTTTATTCATAATTTGCTCAGAGGTTTGAAATACTATTCAATATCATCAGCCCAGACAGCTTCTTGAAATTCCATAAACTGTAGGTTTTAAAGACATTATCCCATTTCTGGTCAAATGCATGTGATTCATAATAATAGTTAAAAATCTCTGAAAATTTGAATTATTGACCCAGTACATTAATAACTTACTTGTAGGTTTGAAATGCTATTTACTATCATCAGCCAAGATAACCTCTTGAAATTCCATAAACTGTAGGTTTTAAAGGCATTATCCACTTCTGGTCAAATGCATGTGATTAATAATAATAGTTAAAATCACTGATAATTTGAATTATTGACCCAGTACATTAATAATTTACTTGTAAGTTTGAAATGCTATTTACTATCATCAGCCAAGAAACTTCTTGAAATTCCATAAACTGTAGGTTTTAAAGGCATTATCCCACTTCTGGTCAAAGGCCGCGTGATTAATAATAATAGTTAAAAATCTCTGAAAATTTGAATTATTGACCCAGTACATTAATAATTTACTTGTAGGTTTGAAATGCTATTTACTATCATCAGCCCAGACAGCTTCTTGAAATTCCATAAACTGTAGGTTTTAAAGGCATTATCCCACTTCTGGTCAAAGGCATGTGATTAATAATAATAGTTAAAAATCTCTGTAAAATAGAATTATAGACCCAGAACATTCATAATTTGATCAGAGGTTTGAAATGCTAATCTATATCATCAGCCCAGACAGCTTCTTGAAATTCCATAAACTGTAGGTTTTAAAGGCATTATCCCACTACTGGTCAAATGCATATGATAACTAATAATAGTTAAAAATCTCTGAAAATTTGAATTGTTGACCTAGTTCACTTACTTTGTAACTTTGGAAATGCTATTTACTATCATGAGCCAAGATAACTTCTTGAAATTCCTTAAACTGTAGGTTTTAAAGGCATTATCCACTTCTGGTCAAAGGCACGTGATTAATAATAATAGTTAAAATCTCCTGTAAAATAGTACATTAATAATTCACTTGTATGTATGGAATGCTATTTCTATCATCAGCCAAGAAAACTTCTTGAAATTCCTTAAACTGTAGGTTTTAAAGGCATTATCCCACTTCTGGTCAAAGGCACGTGATTCATAATAATAGTTAAAATCTCTGAACATTTGTATTATAGATCCAGTACATTGATAGTTTACTTGTAGGTTTGAAATGCTGTTTCCTATCATCAGCCAAGAAAACTTCTTGAAATTCCATAAACTTTAGGGTTTTAAAGGCATTATCCCATTTCTGGTCAAATGCATGTGATTAATAATATTAGTTAAAAATTAAGAATTTCAGCTTAGTGTATTTCCATTTCTTACATGTAAATCTGCACATGGTAACTTTGAAATATAATTAAGATATGGCATCTGCAAAGCTTTAAAAGTCGTATTTTCAGTCATTCCTCCATTTACACTTTTCCAGTTACAGAGTTAGATATTAACATAAGCCTTCTTGCCCTTCTGCCCCTCTGTATCAAAACTGAATACAGTCACAAACACTTGGGATGGACTCCATTTCTGAACTTTCATTGTTGAGATGCTTGTAATTCAAGTTCTTGAATTTTTCAATCAGAAAATGACATGGTTCTTTCACTGCTTCGTACAAAGTGTGGTGTGGTGTTGTACTGTGAAGAAAACAGAAAGACATAATCAATGTACCATGTTTGCATTAACTAACTACATCAAAAACATTCAAGAAAATGGCCACCAACATGCTTAAAAACCATGGAAAGTACTTTGAATAACTTGGAATGGCAGTTGCCAAGTGAGTGGATTGAACAAGAGCGGAGTGGAGAGGAGTGGGTGGTGCAAGTGAAATGAGAGATTGGTTGGGTGAGTGAGTGAGTGAGTGAGTGAGAGAAGTTGAGTGGAGTTGACTTGAGAGGAGTGGGTGGTGTGAGGGAAAGAGGGTGTAGTGAGAATAGTAGTTGGAATAGTGGGGGAGTGACTGGGCGGAGGGTGTGTGAGCGAGGGGAAGAGGGTCTAGTGAGAGTAGCATAGTGGTTGGAGTGGGTGGAGCAGAGTGAGTCGAGTGAGGGAAGAGGGTGTAGTGAGAGTAGTGTAGTGGGTGTAGTGGGTGGAGCGGAGTGAGTCGAGCGAGGGAAGAGGGTGTAGTGAGAGTAGTGTAGTGGGTGGAGCGGAGTGAGTCGAGCAAGGGAAGAGGGTGTAGTGAGGTAGCATAGTGGCTGGAGTGGGTGGAGCAGAGTGAGTCGAGCGAGGGAAGAGGGTGTGTAGTGAGAGTAGTGTAGTGGGTGGGAGTGACTGGAGCGGAGGGAGTCGAGGCGAGGAAGAGGGTGTAGTGAGAGTAGCATAGTGGTTGGAGTGGGTGGAGCAGGAGTGAGTCGAGCGAGGGAAAGAGGGGTGAGTAAAGTGGGGGAGTGTGAGTGAGTGGAGTCGAGCGGAGAGAAGGGGAGTGAGAGTGGCGTGGTGGGGGAGTGACTGGGCCGGAGGAGTCGAGAGGGGAAGAGGGTCTAGTGAGAGTAGTGTAGTGGGTGGGAGTGACTGGAGCTGAGGGAGGGTGAGTGAGAGTAGCATAGTGGAGTCGAGCGAGGGAAGAGGTGTAGTGAGAGTAGTGTAGTGGGTGGAGTGACTGGAGCAGAGTGAGTCGAGCGAGGGAAGAGGTGAGGTGAGAAGAGTGGGTGGAGTGGAGTGGAGTGAGTCGAGCGAGGGAAGAGGGTGAGTGAGAGTAGTGTAGTGGGTGGAGCGGAGTGAGTCGAGCGAGGGAAGAGGGTGAGTGAGAGTAGTGTAGTGGGTGTAGTGGGTGGAGCGGAGTGAGTCGAGCGAGGGAAGAGGGTGAGTGAGAGTAGTGGAGTGGGTGGAGTGACTGGAGCGGAGTGAGTCGAGCGAGGGAAGAGGGTGAGTGAGAGTAGTGTAGTGGGTGGAGCGGAGTGAGTCGAGCGAGGTAAGAGGTGTAGTGAGAGTAGCATAGTAGGCGGAGTGGGTGGAGGGAATGACTGGATTTAAGTGGAGTGGGGAGGAGAGTGGAGTGGAGTGAGTTGATGGGAGCGGAGCAGAGTGATTGAAGAGGAGTGAGAATTTTAGTTATATGAAACATTTATTTTACCAAACTGGTATTTGGGACACTTAAAAAGTGTAACATTAAACTTAACATCTTCACTCATGCACTGTATCTTATCATTAACTATTCCGTTACCTTTACAGGTATGTAACAGGATGCAAATCCTGCCTTTACTTCCTGATACAGATATCTCTGGAGAAACATTGTGTGACTCTCTCCACACCCATTCCCGTCGCCACTGTAAGGAGAGAACACTTTTTGCTAGACATACATAGGGGAGGTTGAAGAAACATTGACTTACTAATTACCTCATTTCTTATAAACCATGAAAATTTTAAAGAATAAATAGGAATGGCAGTTTCATTTAGTTATGTTAATGTAAGTTATACCAAAGGTGAATTATATGAATGTGCATTTAACTTTTAGGCTGTTGAGAACTTCTTGGGTTTAGTCTGTAACATAACTACACATCAATGCAGAAATCACATGGAACAAGGATATGGGAACAGGCTAGACATGTTACATTTTCTTACCAGAAGTTTCCCTGTATTAGGTTCTGTCGATACATGACAAGATTCACCTCATAGAGAAAGAACAGTGAACACTGTGCAGAAACAACTCCTATAAACTTGTTACATTATGACACTTTATAATGCTAAAACAGTAAAAAATATCTATATTGTTATTCATCTTGCGTACTTACCTTGTTCTCAAAGAATGCTCTTGGAACTTGCATAGTTTCTGAAGTTGAACGCTGCTATTTTCTGTACTTGAATCAAAATTTTCTTTTTAGTAGATTCAATTTCACCATATACATAGAATATTTTTCATGCCAAGGAGGATAACATTATTCAGTCTACAGTACACAGAAAATAGCTCCTTAAATGTTATGCTAGATGAGTGATATATCTGTTTCTGGCACCCTTTAACTTTGGTTACTGTACTTGCAGTCTGTGCTAAAGTCTCTCAAGTTTGCTGGACTGAAAATGTAAATTGGCATTATTTTCAGCATTTTTGTCTCACTTTATGGACTGGAAGTGGGTGTGCTCTTACTTGACAAGAACAAATTTTACCAGACTTGGCTATTAGACTGGTGGGTAAAGTCGAGGACTGTACTTCAGTTTCTTAGGATATGTTCATAGAATTTATGAATCGTTGGATATTGTTCTCACCCCAGGAACCTTATTAGTTTTCATTAGGAGTGCTTCTAAAATTGTGTAGTGTATCATTCCTAATTGAGTTTCTTTTGTTGTGAGATGTTCTTGGATATTTTTTTCTCATTCTACTATTGCATTCTATGTCATATCAGTTTTCTGTGTATCTCATCTTCTGTGTTGTTTCTCCAAGGTATAGTATATATTTTTAAAGACTTGATAACATGCCTTCATTGACATTTCTAAAGTTTTCTCTAATACTGTTTTGAAATTCAGTAATGATTATTTCTTGCTCAATGAGTGTTTTCTTTAAATCACTCAATAAATCATCAATGTATCTGAAAGGTCATTTTCCATATCACTCATATCAGGTTTGGGAACACATAATTCCTTGATAAATTTATATGTGTTTTTCTTTATATTTCAAGTGTAACATTTCATGTTTCAATTCACTTCAAGCATAGTTTAGGTCATAAGATTCCAATTCATTTAGCTACTGGAATATTTATACAGTGTGGTAATTTCCTAAATCAGTTGAGGGGTCAAAAACAAAATTTCAAGCCCCATGTTACTACTATTATCAAATTTTGAAAACACATGGGGTCATCCTTTTGAAAATATGTATACATTTGTAAGAGATAATCTCAAACCTTCAATAGATCTTCATTTCCCACCTTTGTCCTTTTAACTGGATAATGCCAAGGATAAATAGACTTGACAGAATTTCTCATACAAGTATCATTGAAATTCCATCCATATATATAATTACAAATAACAACAATGATACATGATAATAATACTTCCTTCACAAGGAATGTATAACAGTGGGGAACAATCAACACAAAAATAAATTGGAAAAATTGCAAGAAATGGTAAATTACAGTATTTTTTATCATTGCAGGCTGATATTACAGAACAGTTCAGTCAGTGGTCATAAATATGGTAGAATTTAAATGAAATATTAACTTACCTATTTGTGTTAGCATTCAGGTGAAGATGGCCATTCTTCTTTTTCTTCTTCTTTGAAGTTATTTCTATATCAGTACCTGTACTCTGACAACTGTTCATGAAGGAAACATTGTACTATCTGATAAAGGTATTCTGAAACCTTTGGTTATAAACCCAGAGGTCAAATGTTCTAACACTCTTAATTAATTCCATCAACCCTCAACTAGGTACCAGTTAGACACTGACACTGGGGATGGGTTGAGGAGGGAGGGGGTCTTGGCATCTGAGGGAGGAAATGGGTGCAAACAGTTCACAGCCTAATTTGGTGGCATTTACAGCAGCTGTGATTGGGTAATTGGGAATACACATTCATTTTGACACATGACAGTAACTGCAAGAATTAAGAGCAAACACAAATGTTGTTCCCATTGGGTGATCAGTTTGGTTTAGGTGTCTCATGTATATAAAGGAGTTTAATTAGCTACTACTAAAGTTGTGTGTATGTGTGGAATTCTTTTTACATCACTTTTAATACTTTGTTAATATAATCTTGAAATAGAAATATTTAAGAGTGTTTTGCTACATAAAATCAGAGACCATATAATGTATTATATGGTCTCTGATAACATCAAGGTGAGATGAATATATTACATGTTACCTACTAGTATGTTAATACTGCCAACCATGCACAGTACATTTTGGTATATAACAAAGCATATCTGTTACACCAAACACATGCACACCGTTTACATGTTACCTCCCCAATAAAGAAGATGCTTTCTTACACTTGAATGCTATGTTATGTAGATGTACTATAAAAACAGTCACATTTCATTGTTTTCAACTGAGTCCAGGTATACAATTATACAGTGTCATATCTGGGTTTGTATTTCTCACTTTTGCTGCAAACATTGTAATGTGTATTGCAGAAAGCAAACTCAGTATTTGACAGATAATATTATGTACTATACTAGTATATCACAGGTTGATTATAATCAATGAATTGCCATCATCTTTGGATATGAGTGTTTGTCTGTTTCTAGACTTGCTTGAACTGAATTGGTGAAAGTGGAATTGGTTAAAACTGTCTGTTAATGGCTGAATCAACTGAATAGAGACCAGCTTGAGTTAGCACTGACTGTGCAGACATGTCACCATATGCTTCCCTAATTGCTACTGAGTAGCTGTTCCTGTTCAGATCTGCTGCTGCTCACCAGATTGTTGAAACAAGAATTCCAAGGAGGAACTGACTCTATGAAAGGTGTGAGAACCTACTGTTTATTTGAGCAAGGTGGTTATCTCATATAGGACATTTTGTTGGGAGAAATAATAATATTTGTGAAATAATTTGTAACTCTGTGAATGAATTTGGATGGGAATGTATATGGTTAGGTAATTTCATAAATTTTGTAATGCATGTAAACAGATAATGTTGTCTTGATTTTAACCCATGTATACAATATGTTGAAAGGTTAAAGTGTGACCCATTAAGGTATTAAATATGAATTTGGATTAATATGTATACTATTGGACAAGTAAATTTAAGAAGGACTGTGGAGTAAGCTCTTACCTTGAAAAGTTTTGACATTTGATAGACTGACAGTGATTTTGGTTGTTAAATTTGATAAAATGAATTAAAATATATTATATATTCGGGGTTTTATCACTTGTTTGTCAAGAACAAAGCATTGAAGAAAAACATGAATAATATACATGTAGTTATAAGTGTGCAGTTATAACTGAAGATGGGAAAGGTAATTATGAAAAGTAATGCTTGCCATTTCTAACCTATCTAACAATCTTAATAGGTTACAGGAATATGCCTGAAGTATTGAGCTCTTAGATTGCAGCACAAGTCTACAGTTTCTTATGTTCCATGACTATCATTCCATTAACTTCCTCATGGCTAAAGGTATGTCATACCTATGATGCAGCTTCAAAAACAAACACTTTTGAGTAGTATTCCATTGTTAAAATGAACAACAATGTCATGTACTGTGTGCTCAATCACAACAATTAAGCAAAAATTCTGGATGTTTTCTGTGGAAATAACATTCATTTCATTCTATACAATATTTTAAATGCATACCATTCTAAAGCTGATTTCTTCAAAACTTATGTATTAAAGAACAATAAAATAGAACAAGAACAAGAAATTTATTCAGGATCAGGTCACATGGCCAAGAGTACAAAGCATTGGATCACCCATGTGCACAAGGACAGGTGGGACAAATGTAATTCCATCTTAATGCAGTGAAAATGTATAGCTTTTAAGATATGGCATGTTTTCGTATATAATGCACATAATAATTAATGAAACATTAGTAGACCAGCATTTGTGTATTTATTGCTTACTCTATTTAAGATTCTTTTTTTTGTCAGATACCCTACAAGGCGAAATATATTTGGGTATGACATGAAGCAGCATAGTGGCACATATGTTACTGATATTGAATATCTTAAGATATTCGGTAAAAGTGTAGGTGATTTTAATTGTTTCTCTTACAATATAGAAATCTATAAATTGTGAAAGAATAGTGATAATGAGTAGTTTGGACTACTTGGTATTCTTCAATAAAATATTGGTTATGCAGATCAGGAGCAGGTATGTGGAAATATATGGGATATCCAACTTATATCCAGTGCAAATCAACAACCATAGGAATGTTCAGTAATAGACCGTAGAAAAATGCCTATAAATGGTTTCGGTCATAGAAATACCAGCAGGTATATATGTCTAAAGTGAAATGGTGTGTGAGCATTGGCTTATGATTAAGGCACTTAAGAAGAAGAGCTATGAAGATATATGTGACTTGCATCTGCATGCATAATGCAGCATATCAATACAACAAAAGAAACCATTCTCTTCCCGCACCACCCATCCCACACCCAATTCAGGGTCATTTTGTAAATATTTCACTCTCTCCGACTTGTTAAGTTATAATAAACCCATGCCATGCCGACATTATCTTATTCTCATCTATTTTGCAATCTTTTGCTCAGTTTCTACATTCAAATTTCGGGCTAGTGAATTATTTTGTGGGCTAGTAACTTTCAGGCATAGGTAGCCCGACTGGGTAACAAAATTCCTCTCCGTCTTTCATTCTGTGTGGTGTAAGTTATATATCCGATATACCCTTCCCGCCTTTCATTCTGTATGGTGTAAGTTATATATCCGATATACCCTTCCCGTCTTTCATTCTGTGAGGTGTAAGTTATATATCCGATATACCCTTCCCGCCTTTCATTCTGTGTGGTGTAAGTTATATATCCGATATACCCTTCCCGCCTTTCATTCTGTGAGGTGTAAGTTATATATCCGATATACCCTTCCCGCCTTTCATTCTGTGAGGTGTAAGTTATATATCCGATATACCCTTCCCGCCTTTTATTCTGTGAGGTGTAAGTTATATATCCGATATACCCTTCCGCCTTTCATTCTGTATGGTGTAAGTTATATATCCGATATACCCTTCCCGCCTTTTATTCTGTGAGGTGTAAGTTATATATCCGATATACCCTTCCCGCTTTTCATTCTGTGAGGTGTAAGTTATATATCCGATATACCCTTCCCGCCTTTTATTCTGTGAGGTGTAAGTTATATATCCGATATACCCTTCCCGCCTTTCATTCTGTGAGGGT